ATCTAGAGATACTAAGTCCTCATCTAGAGATACTAAGTCATACTCAGTTTCTCATTATAATGACTTATTTTCATCACAGTTCAGAAATGGGCTTCCATGAATCAGATTGTTGAATGAAGATAACTGTTGAGTACTGCTGCTCTGTTTGAATCAAACCATTCATCACGTCCTCACGCAGGAGCTTGTCCTACATCAAGATCTTCAATGTGGGCAGCAGGTACCTGGTGAACCGGGTCCGGGACCACATTCAGAGCCGGATAGTGTACTACCTCATGAACATCCACGTCACCCCGAGGTCCATCTACCTGTGTCGCCACGGCGAGAGCGAGCTCAACCTCGTGGGTCGCATCGGGGGAGACTCCGGGCTGTCGCCTCGCGGCGCAAAGGTCAGGAGTGTTTGGTGTCTTTTTTATTATACACACACCCTGTTTCTTGTCTCATGTTATCATGTCCTCGTGTGTGTGTGTGTGTGTGTGTGTGTGTCAGTTTGCCAGTGCTCTGGGGACGTACATGCGTGGGCAGTCCATCAGCGACCTGAAGGTGTGGACGAGCCACATGAAGAGGACCATCCAGACTGCAGAGGCCCTGGGGGTCCCGTATGAACAGTGGAAGGCCCTCAATGAGATAGACGCTGTGAGTGTGTTCATCCAGTTTTTATACAGTTTGTTAGTTTGTATATTGGAAGATTATACAAATATTTAAACTGTTTGCTGTGTGAGGAAGAAGGTTGTGTGTGTTTTAGACATTTGTTTCTGTGTTTTCTGTCTCAGGGGGTTTGTGAGGACATGACATATGAGGAGATTCAGGAGAATTACCCAGAGGAGTTTGCACTGAGGGACCAAAACAAGTATCGGTACCGCTACCCTAAAGGAGAGGTGACCACACCCCTTTTTTACTTATTTTATTTGAATGTCTGTGTGTGTTTGAACTGTAACAGATCGGGACTCCTTATGCGGGAGCAAACACTGAATTTAGTTAATTTAGTTTTAATCAAAGCTCAGACTGGGTGACAATATTCTATGGAAGCCCATTTCTGCCACTTTGATAAAAAAAAAAATACTAAATAATGTAAGTCACTATAATGACTTAGTGTCTCTAAATAATGGGTGTTATCAATATTTTAGTATCAATGTACTAAATCCAAATGTTTTTCATTATTTTGAGACAATAACTGGTCTCTCTCTGTCTGTCTGTCTCTCTGCGCTCTCTCTCTCTCTCTCTCTGTCTCTCTCTGTCCCTCTTGATGAACCAGTCTTACGAGGACCTGGTCCAGCGTCTGGAGCCGGTCATCATGGAGCTAGAGAGACAGGAGAATGTTTTGGTCATCTGTCACCAGGCGGTTATGAGATGTCTGCTCGCCTACTTCCTGGACAAGACTGCTCGTGAGAAAAAGACTACATTCATATCCAATAACATTTCCTCCTGTTTGTCTGATTAAACACTACAGTGATCAGCTGTTTAAGGGGATTACTGATGAAACTATACATTTGTGTTTTTAAAGATGTACTTCCTTCAATAGGAACCAATGGGCTTGGAGCTGAGAGACAGACAGGAAGTCCTTTCATCTATGCCATGTTATAATGAGATAAATGTGACTCTGTGTGTCCTGTGTGTCAGATGAGCTGCCCTACCTGAAGTGTCCTCTGCACACGGTGCTGAAGCTCACCCCGGTGGCCTACGGTGCGTCTCTGCTGGACACGTGTCCTCAGCACCATGACTCCTCTAATCTTTACATCGTTCTCTGACTCGTACCTGTGGTGGTTTGTGTTTTTTATTCTCTCAGGTTGTAAAGTGGAGACTGTCTTCCTGAACATTGAAGCTGTCAACACTCACAGAGACAAACCAGAGGTAATTTAATTACTCTTTAGTATTTCACAAAGAGGAGGAAGGTAGTAATTTAGATGTTGTTTTTCTTTTGCTGTAATCAGTTATTACAATTTACTGCGATATGTTTAGTATATATGTATATATGTATATATGTGTATATATATATATATATATATATATGTATATATATGTATATATATATATATGTATATATATATATATATATATATATATA